CGCGCTCGGAGCTGACCTTGCCCGGGGAACGCGTGGCGCTCGGCGCGGAGGTGGTGCGGCTGGTCCTCGCCTCGACCTTCCTCGTTACCTACCTCCCCTCCCCCCCCCCCCCCCCCTCCCCCTCACCCCCTCACCCCTCCCCCCCTCACTCGGACGTACACATGCGGATGGACAGGCGGATGAGGGTAGTGTGAGTGTGACTCTGCTGAATGCGCCCAGTACTGTGGGAGATTCCGTGGAGGTGTTCTGGTCTGCTCCAGGCAGTCTCCCATTCTTCTTGGTTGTCATGCATGATGGTGATGGTGGTGGTGGTGGCGGTGATGACGATGATGATGATGATGGTCCCTTGGTCTCTATTGGTATCAACATGCATGGGGATGATGGTGATGAGTTTGGTGCCCTGGACGGGGATGAGGGCATGGCCAACGTCGAGACGTACGAGCTGGGCCCGGGCATGTATCGTGTGGCGGCCATGGCAGTCACCGGCGAGTTGCTCGCTCAGGGAGGCACGATTGAGCTGGGAGAGGGAGGTCGGGGAGGTGAAGATAGCTCGGACGGTGAGGTGTTCGCTGACGCGGAGGATGTGTACGCCTCGCCGTATGCAGAGTACGTACCGGCGCGGGAGGGCGACTTTATTGACGACGTGGTTATCTTCTCGCCGACTTGGGGCGAGAGCGCGCCGGAGGGGTACATTGCCATTCCGAAGGATCTCAACGCCGGCAACGATGGGCCCGAGTTCCGGCTGGCGTTCCGGCGTGTGGCGGGCCACGAACGGGCTGGCACTACGGGAGTGGTGACCGGAATCGGCATGGTGTTTCCCGAGTGTGACGACGAGTACGTGGCCTCTGACATGGAGGTGCTCGAGGTGACGGTGTCGGGCGAGCCTGGCGATCTCAACGGCGGCGAGGGCAAGCACCCGGCGTATCTGTTTGTGGTCCGCGACGGGCCGGGCCGGGCGCTGGCGGACATTGCGGTACTTGACCGGAGCATGGGCGACACGCTCCCTCCAGGCTACGGCATGGTTCCATACTCGCGGTCTGGCTACGATGCCGATGCCAACTACGGTACGTCGGGCCACGACATTTTCTTTGGCTACCGGGTCGTGGGCTCGAACATGCTGTACGAGGGCAACGCCATTGCGCTCCGGTCTGTCTACCGGCAGTACGTGACGGCGCATGTGCCGAGCGCGGACCTTGACTATGCGTTTGGGCTCTCGCCGCAAGAGGTGTTTGTGGTCGAAGCTGCGGGCGCCGCCGCCGACGACGGGTGCGTTGACTCTGGGTTTGCGCTGCGGACGCTCCGCGGCGGGTTGTATGTGTGTGTGGATGGGGCAACCGGGGCGACGGCGCTGGCCCCCGGCCCGCCGTCGACGACCTTTGAGATCTCGGTCTGTGGCGGGAGCATGGCGCTGCTTGCCGTGGAGGCCGGGCTCTTTCTCGACGTGGTGCCCGGACCGTCGCCGAGCCCGGTGTTCTTTGACGTAGTGGCAGCGGTGACCGAGCTTGCGGTGACGGGCAAGGTTGATCGCGGCACCGCGCTTGGTGCGCAGTCGTTTGAGTTTATTTCCAAGAACCTCAACAGCGAGACCGACGGATCGTACATCAACCTGTGGTTCCGGCGCGGCGGGCCGGCGCGGCCTCTGGTGGCACTCAAGGTGGTTAAGCCGGACGAGTCCGAGTCGTCCGAGTCTGACGACGGCGAAGCTGGCGAGTCGGAAACAGGTGACGGCGTGGCGAGCGGCGCCGGCGTGGCGCACCTGACCGCTGAGGAGATTGCGGCGCGGCGGTGCGAGGCTGTCGAGGGCGATGGCGAGGTCGAGGAGACGATGGCGCAGTTTGTGGCGCGCAACAAGGATCCCGAGCTCGAGGCGCTGGTGGCCAACTTTGAGGTGGACGCGGGCATCAAGTACAGCGAGGAGTGCTGGCGGCTGGAACCTGCCGACCTCAATCACGGCAACGACGACGGCGTGACGCAGATGCCGAGTGTAGTGCGGGCAGACGCGCCCGACGCACGGGCCGCCGACGCCATGCCGATCTTCTGCCTGGACATTTTGTTTGACTCTGCCGAGACGAGCGGCGGGTGGCTGAAGGATCCCGCGGACCTCAACGAAGGCGCTGGCGGCTCGTATGTGTACATCACCTACGCGCACGGCATGCTCCCACCGCCGCTCGCGCAGTACCTGGAGGAGCAGCGCGAGCTGCGCGAGGCCGAGATTGCGCGACGGATCCGTGTAGCGCGGCTGAAGCGACAGGCGGAGCTGACGGCTGTGTGCGAGGCACTGTTCGCCGAGCTGGAGGCCGGCGAGAGCGGCGAGGCAGCGCTGGCGGGCCTGCCGCGGCCGCAGACGGCGATGGCCGGCGTGGACAATGCCGGCAACACGTGCTACCTCGACTCGCTCCTCTTTGCCATGTTTGCAACCTCGGAGGCGCTCGAGTACCTACTCTACCCGTCGCCGCACCTCGAGCTCGGCAAGCCTGTCTTCAACCCGTTCGCCTTTGACGAGACCGACTCGGACTCGGACTCTGACGACGCCGAAGCGCAGCAGGCGGCCAAGGTCAAGGCCATCCGCACCCTGCAGTTCTACCTCCGCGAGCACGTTGTACGCCGGCTGCGGAACGGTGAGTTCCTCGACGCGAATGCAATGGAGCTCACGCGGTTCATGTTTCGGTGGGCTGGGTGGGAGTCGGGCGAGGACGAGGGCATTCTATTTGGGTGGGACGGCCTCCAGCAGGACACAGCTGAGCTCCTCGACAACGCGCTGGACTGGCTCGGCGCGCCGTACATTGCATGCGTCCGGCGGTTTGCGCTCCGCGGGATGCCGGATCCCGAGTCTGCAGCGGTGGAGCGGTTCCGGACCATCCGGGTCTCGATGCCGCAGAAGATCAAGAAGCGTCGCAAGCAGAAGCGCAAGCGCGACCGGCGGTTCTCGCTCGGCTACATGCTCGACCAGGATCTCAACAACAACCCGCTGGAGGGCTTCAAACGCGAGCCGTCGGCAGCGCTGCTGGCAGCGCTGGAGGCGGCCGACGACGCTGAGCCCATCGACCCGGCCGAGGTCTGGTCGTCGGTTGTCCGGCTCCAGCCGGCGTACATGTTTGACGGGGCCGAGAACAAGCTTGTTCCGCCCGAGGTCATTGTCCCGCCAGGCACCGACCTGGCGCCCGACAGAGTCCCGATCATGATCCCGATCGTGGTCAAGCGGTTCAACAACGAGCTCGTCAAACTCCTCGGGCGAGTCAAGGTCCCGATGGAGATATTGCCGTCGGAGGTGCCGTATCTCGACGACGCGCTCGACGCCAGCGAGTACACGCTCCGGCTCCGGTCGGCGGTGTGCCACACCGGGCGCAAGCTCAACCGTGGCCACTACTACGCGTACGTCCGGCACGACGCCGCCGACGGCAGCGTCACCTGGCTCAAGTTTGATGATCTTGCCGACGACGGAGAAAAGGTCGTTGCCGTGGCTTTCCCCGGTCCGTACTACCGGCTTCTCTGCAAGCAGTGCTACGTCCTGTTCTATGAGCTCACCAAGATCGCACCGCCTCCCGCCAGCCTTGCCTGAGCCGTCTCTGGCACTTCTGCAAGCCGCCACGCGAGTAAAGAGTCCACCTCGACCACCTCACCCACCGCCATGTCGAATCCCGAGTGCGAAGCATGCAAGCCGACGGGGGATGTGTCGTCTATGACGAGCAGCCCGAGCCCGTCCGGAGCAGGCGCTAGCCCTGGTCTCGATGGGCATGGTGATGCGGCGGTGCCATCAGCTTGTGCCGAGGCTTACGCGGCAACCACAAAGTGCATGACCGACTCGACGTCGACTGATTGGCGGGTGTGCAAGGCCCACTTTGACGCCTACCGCACCTGCGTCAAGGCCCATGGTCTTCCCTAGAGTACCTCGTAGTGACGGTATGGCTGCGTGTCAGTGGCTGTTGGTGACGCGGCATGCGGTTGCCCCCCGGTGCTTCCATCGTCCTGGGACGACTTGCATTGTGAGGCCAGGCAGTGAATGGCGTGATGATTGGCCGTAGCTGTTGTGGCCCTGTGTCTATGCGATGGCGATGATGTTGGCGATGACGATGTCGATGTCGATCGGAATCACGATGAGGATCAGGATCGGGGCCAGAGTGAAGATCGGGGCCAGAGTGAAGTTGCGGTCGTGATGGCCATGACGTTCTTGATCTCACGACAACGGCCACCGTCACGACTACGACGACGTCGACGACAACCACCGCCTGTGCTCCCCTCCACCTCGTTAACGACAACGACTGCGATGATGTGTGACGGCTACGGCCACCATCTTTGCTACCGCAGGCCCTCTCTGGCACCAGCCACCAACATGATCAAGATGGCGATGACGATGACGATGACGATGGCGGCCGCGATCACGATCACGATCACGATCACGATCATGCTCACGCTCAACCACTTGTCTCCCCCCCCCCCCCTCTTCCCCCTCCCCTCTACAACGTAACAAAGACCCGAATGCTGCGCAAGACTCTGTTGGTAGCTTTGGTGGTGTGGGTGGCGGTGGCGTGCTTGGTAGAGGTGGGAGAGTGCGCTGGACGGCGGAGGGCGCGGCGGCGGGCAGCAGGCGGTGGTGCGGCGACTGCAGCTGGCGGCGAGGCGCGAGCCGAGACGGGAGGCCCGGCAAGTGGGTACACTCGTGGTGGGGGCGCACGGTATGATGTCGAGTCGCGAGAGGGTACACACTGGCCAAGCGAGGAGCTGGTGCAGGCGGCCGAGGCGCTGACGAATCAGGGCCGGTTCATGGAGGCCATTCCCAAGCTGAAGAAAGCGCTCAAGACGCTGCCCAAGCACGCGCAAGCCGCCTTCCTCCTCGGCCTCTCGTACGCCTCGCTGGCCGAGTCTGGTCGCGGGTCGCACTACTTTGACGATGCCGGTGTATGGTACGAGAAGGCCATCGAGCTGGGGACCGACTCGGTCCGGTTCGCCAACTTTGCCACGGTGGCGCACTCTAACGTGGGCAACATCCGGCAGATGCAGGGCGATCTGGGCGCGGCCAAGCGGCACTTTCGGGCAGCAATCAAGCGCAAGATGGACGGCTTGTTTGAGCCGTACCGGTCGCTGGGCATGGTGTATGAGAAGCAGGGCCTCATTCCGCAGGCCAAGAGGGCTTTTGCCAAGTCGCTCGCCATGCACACTGAGGACGCGCTGCGGTTGCACATGGCCGACATTCTCCCGCTTGTCTACTCGTCGCAGGACGAGCAGGAGCAAGCCGGGAAGACATACGTGGCGGCGATGGACACGCTCTATCACGCGTCACCGGGTGAGCGGATTGCGATGAACAACCCGCTCAAGGAGCTGTTCTCGGTCCCGCACTACTACCTCGCGTACCATGGTGTCAACTACGTGGAGACAATCAAGCAAGTGGCGGCGATTGTGGGCCGGTCGTCGCCGGACATTCCGTACACCGCGCCATGGCTCCTCGGAAAGTCGCGTCGCGAGGCGCTCGCCGACGCGGCCTCGGGCTCGCGCCGGATCCGGGTCGGCTTTGTCTCGATGTACCTGCGCTCGCACTCGGTGGGCAAGTTTATCGCCGGCACCATTGCGCATCTCGACCGTGACAAGTACGAGGTTGTGGTCTTTGCTACCCGCGAGACGTACTTTGAGCCCGACGAGGGCGACCGGTTCCGGGCGCGGATCAAGGCGCGGGCCGACACGTGGCTCGACCTGCCCAAGGTCACGCTCAGCGGCCTCCGCAAGCCGATTGCCGACGCCAAGCTCGACATCCTTGTGTGGCCGTCTGTGGGCATGGATCCGGGCAACTACCTGCTCGGCATGGAGCGGCTGGCGCCAATTCAGATCGCGACCCACGGGCATGCGTCCACCACCGGCCTCCCGCTCATCGACTACTTTGTCTCGTACGCGGCGTTTGAGACTGAGGAGGCGCAGGAAAACTACTCTGAATCGCTCATCACGCTGCCAGACTTTCTGTACTACTACCCGCCAACGCTTCCGGCGAACGTGCCAGACCGCCTCGAGCTGTGGGCCGAGCTCGGGCTGGCGGCGACTATTCCGCCCATGGCGCACGTCTATGCCTGTCCGCAGACGCAGTTCAAGCTCGCGCCCGACTTTGACGTCACCTTTAAGGCTGTGCTCGAGGCTGACCCGGCAGGCGTTCTCCTCCTCAAGACCTACTCGTCGCCGGATCTGGACGCAATCCTGGTCCGGCGAATGACCAAGGCGCTCGGGGCCAAGCTCATGGAGCGGGTCGTCGTCCTCCCGCGCCTCACCGGCCCACAGTGGTTCGGCATGCTCGCCGCTGCCGACGTCATCCTCGACTCGTATCCGTTTGGCGGATACACCACTACGCTCGAGGCGCTGTACATGGGCACGCCTGTTGTCTCGCTCCCGCACCCGAGCCTTATGTCCGGCCGCTGCACCCTCGGCTTCCTTCGCATCCTCGGGCTCGACGACGTGCTCGGTGCCGAGTCGCGCACCGACTACGTCGACCGCGCCGTCCGCGTCGCAAGCAACGTTGATGGCGTCGGTGACGACATCCGCGCCCGCATCGCCACCGTCAAGGACTCGATCTATGAGCGGACCGCCGCGCTTCGCGCTTGGGAGCGGCTCTTTGACGAGGCCGTCGCTGGCGTCCAGCCAACCGACCTGCATCTGGCCAAAATCGGCGCGCCCACTGACGCCATTGTCAGCGCCGTCGCCGACCCAGACCATGTCTTTGACGTCTACACGCCGTAGATCTGTGTAATACATGACACAGTCGCTGCATGCGGCCAAAACGCCGACGGATGGCGGTCGGCAGGAGACGGGGCAGAGCGGTGCGGAGCAAATGAGACCGAGACTGTGACGAACACTTGACTCGACCGCCTGCCAGCTTGCAAGCACTACCGAGCCCAAGGTACATACCATGGGCGACCAGGACTGGCTCTGGACTGGTGGTCGTGTTGGTCGTGTTGGTCGTGTTGGTGGTGGTCGTGTTGGTTGTGTTGGCGGTGGGGCGGTGGAAGCGGTGGGGGCGGCGGTGAGTGGCGGAACATGGCGTGTAGCTAGCGGTGGGGGCGGCGGCGAGTGGCGGAACATGGCGTGTAGCTAGGGCCGGGGTCGGGAACGGGGCCGGGGACGGGGACGGGGCTGATTGTTGGACAGGGCGGAGTTGTCGGAGTTGCCGGACAGGGCGGAGTTGTCGAACTTGTCGGACAGGTCGGATAGAGCAGAGAAGCCGATGGAGCCGTTCTGCTGGGTCGGCAAGTCTCGGCGGTGCGCTGGTGGTGATGGTGGTGATGGTGGTCGGATGTGGCGGGTGGGTCGATGGACAAGGGCCATCACCGTCGGTGGTGGCAGCCAACATGCGGCTGGCCATCACGGCTCCGACGTCGCAGGCGGCAGTTGCGGTCGTTCTGGAGAGTGTGGTGCGGAGCCGATGGGCAAGCCTGCCCAACACCACATTTGCGCTGTATCTAGATCCCCCCGACAACTATCTGGCGGCCAACTCTCAACGGATTACGCTCGGGCGGTCAGTCTCTGTCCTGCCGTCTGCAGTGGCGGCTGCAGCATGGCGGCCGCGGGGCACGCTCGCCGCGCTTGCTTTTCCTTCGCCGCTCAACTTTCTGGATACAGTGGCAGCCGGTGGCTTTGCGCCGCTTGACGACGTTATGGTGAGCGTGATGCCGCGGCTTGCACCGGTGCTGCGGGAAGTACAGCTCTTTACCGGCGACGTGTACGAGTCGATCGAGTTCCAGCAGGCAGCCCAGCCCAAGATGGCTGTCTCGCTGCGGACCGAGTGGCCACCCCAGGCAGTGCCGTCACCACCAGTTGTGCCGCCTCTGGCCTCTGAGTGGCCACCGCTGCTGAGCAGCCCGAATCCGCGGTCGTACTACGCAGCGCCTGTGGTGCTCGACGGCGTTTCTATCGCTTACCGGCGGTCGGTTCTGGACGCATTTGACCTCATACCGCCGACGTCGTACGAGGAGCTGCTCACGCTGTGTGGCACTCTCGACGGACTTGGCATCATTCCGATCACAATGCCGTCGTTCGACCTTGGGTCGGCAGTCGAGGGTGTGATGGCCAGCATGTGGTTTGACATTGTGGCTACGCGGCTGTACGGCTCAGCGCTGCTCGATGAGATGCGCGGCGGGCGGGTCTCGTTTCTTGACGAGCGCATTGAGCGGGTGCTTGCCGTCCTGGAAGATCTCCGCAACGCGCGCTGCTACCACCCGCAGCCGCGCGATGTCGACGGCGAGCAGGGCCGGGCTCCGTTTTTCACCGGTGTCTCGGCCATGACCATCATTTGGGACGGGTTCGCTCTCTCGCTGCCGGAAGGCGTGCTCGCCGACGTTGAGGCCTTTGCTTTTCCGGAGCTTTCTGCTGGTCAAGGCGTGAACACGGGTCTCGCCATCTTTGTTGTGATTGCACTGCCGGTTGACTTTGCGCCGATGGAGTCGGACAAGGCGACGGTAGAGGCTGTGCGGCAAGAAGTGGTCCGAGCAGCGTTGTCGCCAACGATGGCGCAAGCGCTTTGGGCCAACGGCATGTATGGGGTGCCGGCGGTGGTAGATTCAGAGGTGGTCGCACCGGCGTCCATGCGTGCTACCCGACGCGTGGTGCAGACGATGCGGGACGAGTCGAGCCAGCTCACGACGCTGCTCTGCCTGACAATGTCGCCTGCAGCACTGCGGGATGCGTGGTGCCGCGAGTTCTCGCTCTTTTTCCACTCGACCGATTTCAGCGTGGCCAAGTCTGGTACGATTCTGGCTCGATTGGAAGGCGTTCGGGGCGAGGTGACAACTGGTGTCGCAGCGCCGCCGTTTGCGGAGCCGCCACCTGGGGTTGTTGCGCGTGGGACGCGGATTGAGCTGATGGCGCTCGATGAGCAGGCAATGGTGCTGTATTCGTTCAAGAACATTCCGCTCGTCCTGGGTTCGCCGGACGTTGAGCAGTACTCGGCGCCGATTGTACTGCCGGAGCGGCCCGAGGTGACGGTGTGGGCAGGCGTTCACACGCAGACGCTGGTCAACTCTCAAGTCGTAGCGCTGCGGTATGTCCAGCCATGGGCTGTGGCGAGCGAGACGAACAGACCGCTGCGGATGGTTGTGCTTGGGGTCGGACTCGCAGTGGGTGTGCTCTGCCTCGCCGGCATGGTGGCGGCCGTGATGATTACGCGGCAGCGGAGCCGGGCGCGCAATCCGAAGACGCAGATGATGCTTGTGGACCACTCGGATCTTATTCTGATGACGTCGCTGGCAATCCGCGAGCGGGCAGAGGTGTTCCGGGCTACGTTTCGTGCGTCGCGTGCGGTGGTCAAACTCTTCTTTCCACACCTTGCCAGCAAGCCGAGCCGAGCCGGGCTGCTGGGGACAGAGGCGCAACTGCCGACGCAGAGCTGGATCAACAATGTGGCGGCATCGTTGACGACGAGCGAGACGAGAGCGTTGGCGTCGATGTCAGAGCTGAGCGAAGGGATGCAGGAGTTTATGCGGACGACGCGAATGCTGGCGTCGCTGCGGCACCCGAACCTGGTACTGTTCATGGGCGTCGCGCTCAATCCGCTGGCAGTGGTGACCGAGTACGTCCCGCGCGGCTCACTCTGGTCCGTGCTCCACACCCCGGACATGGAGCTCGCTGGATCGCTCAAGGTTGCGCTTGCGGCGGGTATTGCCAAGGGCCTGCGGTACCTACGGCGAGCACGGATTGTGCACCACTCGCTGACCTCCCACAACGTGCTCCTCACTGCATCGTGGATTCCCAAGATTGCCGACTTTGGCATGGAAGCGTTGGAGGTGCTGCCTGCAAGGAAGGTGCATGCGCGTGCGGCAGCTGCGCATGAGGCGCACATGCACGAGCGGTGGCCGTGGACGGCGCCCGAGGTGCTGAGTACCAACGCGCCAGTCTCGTTTGCGTCGAACGTGTACTCGTACGGGGTGCTGGTGTGGGAGATCGTGACGCTGCGGCAGCCGTACAGCGGATACTCGCCCGACGCAGTGGCGCTCGGGGTCATCAACGGAACACTGCGACCGGAGCTGGCTCCGGGTGACGGGACGCTTGATGTTGCTGTGGGCAAGCCAGTCCGGGGTGAGAGCTCGCTGGGGCCGTCGACGTTTGACAACCGGCCGTCTCTGGTGCCGCTGATGCTCATGTGCTGGTCGGCAGACGTTGAGGCTCGACCCGGACTGACAGCGATTGTCAACGAGCTGGAGCAGATCCAGTCTGTGGTTGGCCCGCCGGTGTACCCGCATGTGGACGCGCGGCCGCGCGGGCGGTCTGTCTTGGTCATGATCGAAGTGGCCAACTTGCAAGCTGCACTTGACTCACTGCCTGCGGCATTTGCCGAGGCTGTGCGGACGATGCATCGAATGGTGCGGGCAGCGCTGAGTGTCTCGTCCGGTTTTGTGTGGCGGCTCTCGATTGATCGGGTGTACATCATGTTTGCGTCTGTGGCGCGGGCGATGAAGTTTCTTACAGCCTTTGACGAGGCCATGTTCCACTGCCCGTGGCCGCACGAGCTCCTCCTGCACCCGATGTTTGGCCCGCTGGTCAACTCGGACGGCGTGGTGGTGCTCCGCGGGCTGCGGCTGCGGACAGTGGCTACAATCGGGGTTGCGGAGATGAAGAACCCCGAGCCGACGCCCGGGCCCGCGATTGGGCGCACCATGGACAGCTCTGTGGTAGGTCTCGACGAGGGAGCTGGCGAGGACGACGGCTACACAGGCGAGCTTGTTCACCAGGGCCAGCACATGCTCACGGTGTGCCTACCGGGGCAGACGATGGTGAGCAAGGTGCTCTCACTCGAAGCGGTGCACGAGCTCCGGGAAACGGCGTACGAGCTGGTGCCGACGCAGCATGGGATGATGCAGTTGCAGGCGGAGGCGCGGCCGGTCGACTTTGAGGCAGTACATGGCGGTGGGGGCGGGGCGGGACTCGCGCTTGTCTCACTGCCTATGTCCTCTCTGGATCCTGGACTCGGCGGAGGCGTCGTCGGCGACGGCGGCAATGATGGTGATGTCGGTGACGAGACCGAGGTTGGGACTGTGTCAAGCACAACGAGTCGACGGATGACCAAAAGCGGGAAGACGCGGTCTGTGCTGTTTGCCAACAGAGGCGGCGAGGCGGCCAGGAGTGGCGAGGCTGCGAGCGGTGTGCCCATGACTCGTGTGAGCGAAGCGTCGGCTTCGTGCTCTGTGTCATTGTCGATGAGCAAGCCGCGGCATACCTCTGAGGAGAGCTCGGCAGGGCGGCACGAGCGAGGCGGCGACGATGTGTCGCTGCGGAAAAGCATCCACATGTCGAAAGGCATTGCAACCGAGACCGGCGGCGACTACGGGCTGCCGTCTGCGTCACTTGTGCTTGCGCCAGCGTCGCAAACACGGTTTGCTTACACGACGCTCGAGCTGGGGCTGACAACTGCGCGGGGACAGGCGTGGGTTATTTCCGCACCGCCGAAGCATGTGTTTGAGACGCGGTACACGTTTGGAGCGACGGCCGAGTCGTACAAGGTGCGGTGGGGCGAGGGGACGGTGCTGTTTAAGCGGGTGGTGCACGCGATGCGGGCAGAGGAAACAATCGACTTTGCAGTGACGGTGGCACTGCTCAAGGTGCTCGACCACCCGAACGTGCTCCCGCTCAAGGCGGCGTGCTTTGACCCGCCCCGGCCTGTGGTTGTGGTTGATTTTGTGGACGGCGGCTCGCTGTGGAACGCGTTGCTCGGACCGCGCAAGGTGGAAATGCCGATCTTTACCCGGATCAATATCATGCAAGGCATTGCCAAAGGCCTTGCATACCTCCACGAGCACGGGGTGGTGCACGGGGCACTCTCGCCAGCCAACGTGCTGCTGCAGAACTCTTCCACGCCGCTCCTCACCGACTACGGGCTGGTCTCGATCCGGTACAAACGCGAGGTGCAGGCCGGCCAGGCGCCGCCGCCACTGCCGCTGTCTGGCGGAGCTGGGCTTGCGATTGAGAAGCGGCGGCACGAGCCGACGCGGTATGACGCGCCCGAAGTGCTCAACGACGGAGTGGTGAGCACGGCAGCAGACATCTTTGCGTACGGAGTGCTGCTGCTGGAGATCGCGACGTCGGCCAATGCGTTTCCCGGAATGAGCGACGCGGAGGTGGCGTCGCGCATCTCGTCGGGCTTCCGTCCGCCGATTCCCGAGAGCATCAACTTTGACCTCGCGTCGATCATTCTGTGTTGCTTCCGCGAGCGGCCGGTGTCGCGCGGCAGCATGGCGTCGATTCGCAAGGACATCATGAATGTGACCGCGCTGTGAGGCGTCAGCTGCCGCGCGAGGCGAGGCGCGAAGCGAGGCGCGGGCCGGGGACATGGAGCGGGGCTGAGCCCGGGCGGGCGGCGGCGTGTGCGGCTGCCCGCGGCGAGGCTGTGGCGGGGCTGGCGGCCGGTGGGGCCGGGGCCATAAAGTCTGTGGTGGAGAGGAGCGCGGTGGCGGGGCGAGACGGGCGGCGGTAAGGCCTCTTGTCAGCGCCAAAGAGCGGATGGGCGGCGGAGCCGTCGGCAAAGGTGAGGCCGGTGGAGCGAGTAAAGCCCGGCGAGGCGCAGCCTGAAAGCGAGGGGTGGACGGCGTTGCAAGAGATGCAGCGAAAGTGAATGCGGCCACCGGCGAGCGAGCCCGGATCAGCGTCGTGCGGGGTGATGAGGGTGTCAAACAAGTGGTCGACGTCGACAGCGTCGGCCTTGGACGCGCAGGTCCGGGCGAGGAGCTCGACGTTGGTGTTGGTGACCTCGGCAAGGGTGCGAAGCTTGGCGTCAAGCGCGTCAATGGCAGCGCGGGTTTCTGCGGCCTTGGCGACTGAGGCCAGGCCTGCGCTCAGAGCAGCGACGTCGGCAAGGACGCCTTCGAGGGCGGCGCGGTTGACGTTGACGGTCTCGTTGAGCGAGGCGTACGAGTGCAACTGGGTCGAGGCCTTCTCCTCAAAAGCCTCCATCATGGCGGTGAGCGAAGCCTCCGAGTCTCGGGCGGCGAGCGCGAGGCGGGCGTCCAAGAGTGTCTGCGAGAGGCCCGATGGGTGGGCGGCGGCGGCAGCAGAGGCGGCGGCGGCGGAGGCGGCGGCGGCAGCGGCGGCGGCGGCGGCGGATGCGGCGGCGGCAGCGGCGGCGTCGTCGTCGGTCTCGGCGGCGGCGGCGGCAGCGTCGGCGCCAACAATGTCCATGCCCGGGCGAAGAGTAACTCCGTGCGGGCGCGGAAGCGAGGCAGCGGTCGACGGGGTGTGGCTCGACGGGCCGGTGGCTGGGGCGCGGGCAGGCGCCGAGGTGGGCGAGCGCGAGGCCGACAAGCCCTCCCGCGAGCGCGAGTGCCGCAGGCGAGGCGGCTCGATGACGAGCTCGCCCGAGAGAGCCATCGACTCGTAGTGGTGGATCTCGCCATCGTCCTCGACAATGGCCATGGCCTCGGCCTTGGCCTTGGCCTCGACCAGATCGTCGATGGTGAGGGCGGCGAGCTTGGCAGTCAGGTCGTCAACCTTGGACCGCAGCGAGTCAAGCTCGGACAGCATCTCCTCTCCGCACTCGGCGCGGGCGAGGCGGGCCTCCAGCGCGTCGAGGCGAGCATCAACAGCAGCAGCAGCAGCAGCGCGTTCGTCGGTCTGGGCAGCCTCGGCGGCGCGAGCCGACTCGACAGCAGCGAGACGAGCAGCCAGATCATCGACTTGAGCCGAGAGAACAAGCGCCGTGTGCTGAGCCGAAGACGCCGCATCGGCCGCCGCCGCAGCATCGGCCGCCGCCGCCGTAACCGTCGCCGACAGTTCGGCCGCCGAGCGGGAGGCGGCGGCAGCAGCAGCCTCTGCAGCCGCAGTGCGGTTCCAGAGGGCGGAGAGGACCCGTTCGAGGGCCGACTGTTCCAGGGCGAAGAGGTTGTGGAAGGACGGTGCGGGGGGTGGACATGGGTGGGGGGG